CCCCCCCCCACCCACACAGGCCCCCCCCGACAGAGGCCCCCCCTGTGCCGGACTGACCAGGTCCAGATCCGACTCAGGGAAACACAGAAGAACACAGAACTACAGAGGGTTAGTCAGCGGGTCCTGGGGGGGGGGGGGGGTGGTTTCCCGGGGGGGGGGCGGCGGGGGGGGGGGGGGGTCAGTGAGTCCTGGGGGGTCCGGCCTGTGGTCGCTGTGGGGCCTGGAGGGCTCAGACCGGCGGCGTCGGGCATTCAGGACTGCGGGACCACCTCCATCACCTTCTGACACAGAGCCGTGGAGGAGACTGCACACACACAGAGAGACACACAGATACACACGCAGACACACACAGAGACACACACACAAACACACAAAGATATGAGAGCTCACATCCACGTTTCAATCCGCCGACAACAGGAACACAACATCCAGCTGTTTGAGCTTGCAGCTGGAACCAGGAAGATAAAGATACTGGAAACTTCCTGTTTGACTTTTTCTATGCTTCTGATGCAATAATCCACTAAGAATAAAAAATACATTTGCACACAAATTTACTTCTGTCTGTTGGTTCTTAAGTCAGTAATCCAAAACTTAAAAGGTGTGAGTGAGAGAAACAAACGAACAACTAAACTAACTCTCTATCCACCAGCTGAATCTCTGGGATCTCTGAATCTGTTTTCAGACCCAGAAACACACCAGACGGCCAAACGGAGCCCAAACTGCGTCCGTTCACACTCACAGATGCCGTTGAGGAGCCACTTGGGCTTGTTCTGCCACCACACGCCCACCAGGTAGACGGGCACGCCGGTGCCGATGATGCCGAAGCCGATGGCGCACTCCTTAGGCGTCATCCAGAAGGACACCACGATGAGGAAGAAGCAGGCCAGCACGAAGCTGATGGGCAGCAGGATGTTGACCTGGGGGGGGCAGGGAGGACAGAACTGAGCTGGTTTCCTCTGAATTACATAAGAATTACATTAGAAATGAACATTAAGTTTTGGTTCCAGACCGTTGACTCAGTTATTTTATGATAAAAACATATATTTTTTTCGGCAGAATCAGAAGAATAAAAGCATAAACTTTTCGGTCTTCGCTCTTAAAATCGCTTCCCATCTCATTCCGACTCTGTGAAACGAGCACAGAGGCTTTTTGGAGGTTTGTGAACTCGTCTGCTGCAGAGAGAAAATCAAAATGGAGGTTTTTCGGAGCTTTGTTTGTGATCCAGGTCCCCCCAAACCAGAGGGCCAAAAGTAGCCCCGGTGAGCGGCCTGACCCCACCACCCGGGTCGGCCGGTTCGGCTGGGATGAGCCGGGTCGTTTCGGGGTGGCGAGCGGCGGAGGGGGGGGGGTGAACCCCCCCGATGGGGCCCGGTGGGCTCGGCAGCCCTGAGCAGCAGGAATGTGACAGCAGGAGAAAAGAGGAAGAAATGGAGCCCAGCAGAGACAGTGTCACTACTGTCACCC